TGCTGAGGGTGCACTCGATCTCACTGTCCGTGTTTTGGAAAAAGATGTTAAACACACCGGTCCCAGTACCAATCCCTGCGGAACACCACTCGTCACCGGTCTCCATTCGGACATTGAGCCACTGACCACAACTCTCTGAGTGCGACCATCCAGCCAGTTCCTTATCCAGCAGGTGGTCCATCCATCAAATCAATATTTTTCCAATTTGGCCACCAGGATGTCATGCAGGACAGTGTCAAACGCCTTGTCCAGGTAGATGATAGCAGTTGCTCTTCCTTTACCCACTGAAGCCGTAACTCTATCATAGAAGGCCACCAGGTTTGTCAGGCACGATTTGCCCTTGGTGAAGCCGTGCTGGTTACCAGTCACCTCTCCTTCATTTTCCATGTGCCTTAGTAGAGCCTTCAGGAGGATTTGCTCCATGATCTTGCCAGGCACAGAGGTGAGAGTGACCAGCCTATAGTTCCCTGGGTCTTCTTTTTCTGAAAATGGGGGTTATGTTTCCCCTTTTCCAGTCAGTGGGAACTTCACCAGACTGCCATGATCTTTCAAATATGATGATGTCAGTCAGTCCTGTAAAAATTAAATCTTTAGTTCCCAAATGTCTCCATTTAACAATTCAATTCTTATGCTTTTGTCTGGATTGTGGATACCCTGGTAATGTCATTTCATCAGTACTTCATGTGGATTTATTTTTTAATCCATTATAACATAACCTCAAGGTTTGAAGCTTATTTCGGCTAGAAATAATTCTGTTGGGTTGGGTGATATTGTGGAAGATTTTCAAACTTATGTACAGATAACAACTGACATTAAATTTCTGTTATGTCTTCTGTAGTGGGGTACCTGGGAAGTACCAGTCTAAGTGTTTATTTTGAGAAGTGTGATGTTCTTTTGGCAATTAACATGTTTCTGTAGCATAAAACATTGCATCGCAGGACTGCAAAAATGTCAGATATTCCAGTTCATTGGAAAAGGGAGGAAAACAATCAAAAAATGTGAAAACTTATAGCATTGCGATCTGTTTCTTAGTGGCAATTTTTTTTTTTTTTTAAGGTGGCCAAGGATCTGCACCTCCTCAAAATCAGATGCAAGCACCACATGGCCCACCAAATATGATGCAGACCAATCTAATGGGACTTCATGGAAATATGAACAACCAGCAGGCTGGTGCTAGTGGAGTGCCCCAAGTTAACATGGGCAACATACAGGGACAGCCTCAGCAAGGACCACAGTCTCAGCTTATGGGAATGCATCAGCAAATCGTATCCTCTCAAGGACAGATGGTAAACATTCAGGCTCAGGGATCACTGAACCCTCAAAACCAAATGATACTTTCTCGAAATCAGCTCATGCCACAAGGCCAGATGATGGTGACACCACAAAACCAAAATCTTGGTCCTTCTCCCCAAAGGATGACCCCACCCAAACAGATGATTCCCCAGCAGGGACAACAGATGATGTCTACACACAATCAGATGATGGGACCTCAGGGCCAGGTCTTGTTACAGCAAAACTCGATGATGGAACAGATGATGACCACTCAGATGCAAGGAAATAAACAGCCTTTTAGTACTCAAAACCAGTCCAATGTTATGACGGGGCCAGCTCAGCTGATGAGAGGACCAACCCCAAACATGCAAGGAAACATGGTGCAGTTCACTGGGCAGATGATGGCACAGCAAGGCCCTGTGAATGGTAATCCTTCTCAGGTTATGGGAATGCAAGGGCAAGTTTTAAGGCCCACTGGACCTGGTCCTCACATATCTCAGCAACTCGGAGATACTACTACTACAACAAATAGTGATGTGAACTTGACACAGATGTTACCTGACGTTCCTGTGCAGCAGCCAAACATGGTGCCTTCTCATATGCAAGCAATGCAAGGAAACAACAATGCTTCAGGGAGTCATTTCTCTGGCCATGGGCTGCCTTTCAATACAGGGTTTAGTGGAACGCCAAATGGGAATCAGATTTCCTGTGGGCAGAATCCTGTTTTTCCGGTCAATAAAGATGTTACACTCACAAGTCCACTCTTGGTTAACCTTCTACAAAGCGATATATCAGCAGGACACTTTGGTGTGAACAACAAACAAAATAATCAGAACGCCAACAAGCCGAAGAAGAAGAAGCCTCCAAGGAAGAAGAAAAATAATCAACAACTAGAACAAACAACGTAGGTTTAATATTACATTGTTTTTGTAAGGGGCATGGGAAAGCTCTACAGGCAACTTGTCAATATTTTTTCAGCAAGTATGGGATGAGAAAAGACCTGTATTATTTCGTATTATAGCAGTTTCTCTTGAATTAAATGATAACCCACTGGCAAGTCTGACAGTGGAAAGTTTGTTCCAGATTAAAAAAAAACAACATGCAAATATCCCAGCTCAGTTATAAACCCAGTTACAACAGCACTGTTCCGTTTATTTACTGGGCAAAGGAAGTATAGAATGTGGCACATGGTGCCACAGCCCTTGGAAGAGGAGGCTGCCTTTTTTAAGCAGTCTGACAGCCACGATCAAAGGCTGGGAAGTACTTTCAGAAGAATTAGAAGCCTCCACATAACATGTGCAGTAGAGATTGCAGGGTGCAGGGGGCATGCTTCCTGAATTATCTCTGTATCCTGGTGTGTTTCTGCCTGGAATTGAGCTGGAATTCTCTCCTAGTTGAAGCTGCAGCTAGAATTTAGAGGGAGGAATCTGGTACTTCCTGGGTATGAGGATAACAAGCCCAAGCAGTGCTGGTCTTCCTGCCCTAGGAGAGATTAGGAAGGAAAAAATCCCACAGCTCATGAGAGGGAAGAGACAAATGGGTAATACCGAGAGATAGTGAAGGGATGTACCTGTTTAGTGGAAATATGAGATTGCTGAATCTTCATTGCTCTTTGGACAGTGTATTCTTCATGGGCCAGCTGTCCTGTAACCTTTTCCTGTTGACAGTCTACTAATACCAGCACGGGGTGGTAGACTGCTGCTGCTGTACCATCACTGAGCTAAAATGGTAAAGGCAGAGATGCTATATTGAATTATTGTAACACTGCAGGTGAGCCTCAGGGGCATTGACAACAATCCACCCCATGGAACTTCTGGGGATTGTTTCCCGTTTTCTTTAGAAAAAATGGAAAAACTTTGCACAGAAAATAATAATACAAGAATATCCAAATTTAAAAGTTAAATTCTTAAAACTAACCAAACAAAAAGGTAGCAATGGCACATTAAGCTACTGGTGTGGCTCTGGTTCCACCAGTCCATTCCTTTGAATAATCATTGTGAGTCTTTAACCTGTAGTTTGTGCTACGTTTTCCAGAGACAGATATCCAGGTCAGTGTAAGGAGTGGATGGCATTCAAGTACTAAGTGACTGCTGAATATTTTATTTGTGCCCTTGGTTATTCAGTAGCCCCATCTTGCATTTTCTGCGCAATGTCAAGATCCCGTGGTGAAGATGGCATTAGTTTTCTCATGGATGTATTAGTTCTGGACTGAAACGACTCGCATCATCTATAAACTAAAATGCAGGAGCTGTTGCATGCATTTTACAGGTGTAGAAACGCTGCGTAGCAAAGGTAAAGCAAAGCATGCTAATCTAATAGGCCTTGAAAAAAGTCTTTCAAATACCTGCTCTATAATTATATATGGTCGTGGTATGGCCCGTTAGCTCAGCACTGCTGCAAAACGAGCCATGCGATTTCAGATTAAATCTGAAGGAGCACACAGCCCAGCGCCTGCTACGAAAACCTGGTTAAAGGAGCTCGGCTGGAACCAAGTGGCCAACGCAGGGGGTAGGCTGCAGCTTGGGGTGACTTGGCAGCTGTAGCTGAGATGCCAGCGTGTCTCTTGCAGTGCCTAACTCTTTATGCCTCGCAGCTTCTGAAGCGCATGCAACAGGGCTCCTTCGTGCTCGGGTGCATGGTCACAGGCAGCCACGACCATCGTTCTGCAGCGCTGCAAGGAGCCAGAGGGACGGCCGTGGGTGACGGTGTGCCGAGCTTTTAGCTTTGGAAGTCTGGCTACATGGATATATAAACCTCTCCTGAGCTTACGAAGCCCCACAAGACTATTTCCTTGTTAAAAAGTTTTCACAATAAAAGAAGCCCAAATTACAGTTTTTTCTATTGAGTGATGGCAACTCAAAGAATTCCTAGCTCTTAAATAAGGTTTTAATCAGATTTTGGTGTCCTTAACAGAGAAATACCACTTTGTAAGTACTATCTTGGTGCTAGCTTCTGTCACTTCAATTTTCAGTGAGCGTTCTCTTGCCATTGCTACCTGCAGAATGCTGGTTTGGCACCTGGGATAGATTAGTGTTTTGTTTCTTAACGGACTATATATTAATTGGTTTAACCTTGCAAGAGCATTAAGAAGGGAGCTATCCTTATAAATGTTTTTGAGATTATTCTCCAGCAAAAGGAGGGTGACTGCAATGAAAGCTGGCTGTAACACCTTCCTACCTCATTTGCTCTCAGCTTCCCTGGCATTGTTAGGCAAGCTCAGCATTTTCTTGTCTTGGAATTGCTGATTCTTTTCAGTCTGATTTGGCTCGCTTTGTTTTGCATCAGAAGCAAACAGGATGTGTTTCATCTCAGCTTCTTCTCCGTCATTCTTCCTCAGAACTGTTAGAATTCAGAGGAGCAGCAAGCCTTGTGTGGAAATGCGGCTAACTTGATAAACACACTAAAAATGTTTCTGTGGTTTTTTCTTAGCAATAATTTCTGAGATGTAATAATTCAATAAGAAAAGTACCATTAGTAATATGGTTTGTAGGCTGAGCCATACTGGAATGTAAATAGGGTAAGTGAGCTATTGAAAGAGTTTATTCAGCTGAGTCTAAAATAGTTTCAAGAGTTTACTTAATTGAGCAACTCCACATTGGAATGAAAACAAAGACATTTTGGAAAAGTAGGTAGTTTAAAAGTGATCGCATCTGTTTTCTGAACCTGAAGACTGTAGGTAATGGGCTGTAAACTGAGGAAGAAGATGCTAGATGAAATGTGATTGTAGATAAAACATGGTAGTTAATTCTGTTCAATACATGCCCAAACAGTTGTTTAATGTTCCCTTGTGCACAGACCATAAGCATCATGTGTACTGGTAGAACAGAAATAACACTCTCGATAAAATCACTGCTGGCATTTAGATTTGCAGTATCCAGTGTGAAGCGTGATGTGCAGGTGGTGAGCAGCACTGCAGGACAAAGAAGTTTTTCTCAACCAGATTCAGAGAGCTGTTAACGGTAGGTCTGGAGGTGACAGTCCTCCTGTACACATGGGGAATGAAACTTATTGGCATCAGAGGATGAGTGCCTCTCTATAAAAGCAAAAGTTGTTGCAGAACATTGTACCATGTCAGCAGGGCTGGTTCTGCTTGCATCTGTACTGTAATTTTATTTTTTGCACACCTTACGTCAACATCTGCAGCCCTCTTTGGGTTTTCTTGTTTGGGTTTTTTTTGTCTTCTGGAGTTCTCTTTCCACTCTGAGAGAGACATTTTTTTTTTTATCTGAAGGTTGTGCTTGAGAAATGCAGCTGGTGAAGCAAAGGGTTCACTGAAAACAATCCATACTGTACCTAATGTGTAAGTTTTTTGGCTTTTTTTTTTTTTTTTTTTTCATCCAGAGCAATAGGAAAGAACAAATAATATGGAATATTTGCCCCTCTCACACAAACTTCTCATCTTGCTTGTTATTCAGAATTTGGGCTTTTGGATGAGTGGTGGTTTTTAAATATGCCCTGTGAATTTCACCTACATTCAAAATTCAAGTTATGTTTAAATTTTCCAGCAATTACAGTAGCAGTCTTTCCTACAATAACTGCTCTTCTTTGCTAGCAAACAAAGCTCATGTCTGTTTTGCAAGGTTTGTACAGCTTGCCTAATCAGATCCATCTGGCAGGAGATGTTTTCTAAGAACTGATTTTGCACCACAGTTGTTTTCTAGGTTAAACCTGTTTGTGCAGCGATGCTCTGCTCCGGCTTTTTATCTAATCTTTAACTGTAGCATTTTTCATCTCCCACCATTATAAAGAAATCACAAATGGCAAAATCTTAAATTTAAGATTGTATTCACTGTTTAAAGCAGTTCATGTTGCTGGCACCTACATCAAAGGCTGCAGCTGCTCTGGGTCAGTTTGTTGCCGTAATTTTTATTCATTTGTGGCTGCTAATATAATGCTTCTGAGCACGTGTATGCATTTGGCAATTTTCATCAAATTTATCGATGGAGGCACGTAAGCCCACAACAACTGCGTCGCAGAAATGGGTGGTGTGCTGGACTAGACAGAAGGTTTAACTCTGCGTAGTGTCCTTGGCAATGCTGGCCCGCTCAGCAGCAGCGCGTGGGACGGTTCTGTGTTTCTGCCATTTCTGATCCTTTCTTCTCTCTTGGTTTATGTTCTTCCCAGTTTTGACTCTTGAAAGTTAAGGGGCTTGCAGGTCACACAGCTTGTTGAACGTTTAATGGGTCGTTAAAGGACATTGGGACAGTCCTGGGTCTCTCCATGTAAGCTCCACAGGTGCCAGAAACTGTTACTGGCAAGTAAAATTAAATAAGAGGGGTCTCTCCACAGTTGTATACTTCAAATTCTTATTTTGCTGAAAATGTCTTTTGTCCTTGGCATTTCTGCATGATTCTGCCTCTCTTTGTTGGCAGTGGGCTCATTTTGATGTCTTTAATTTTAACTCAAGAGCTTTTATTTCATACATCTCCCTGCAGCCTTCATGTATTCATGAAGCCGATGAGCAGTTAAGGTCTTTTACTCTTCATCCCTCTTTATCTTGTCTGACTATGTATATTGATAGCTCCAGAAACTTGTTTTTTCCTAAGTTTGCAAAAGCTGTCTTGATTGAGTGATGTATTGGGCACTGAATCGGAACAATTTTAAATTGTGCTAGAGAGTATCCTGGAGCATCGAGTACTCCTGGAGAAGGACTTGGGGGTGTTGGGGGATG